CGTGGGTGTTAAAATGTAGTGTTTTGATTTGAAATTTTTTTAAGTTCCCATTTTTTGCTTCATGTATTCTGTAGCTTTATTATTAGATGTGTACACATTTAGAATTTTTATATCTTTCTGATCTGCCTTTTCTATTACTATGAAATTTCCACCTAAAATTCGAATTGTTGTCCCTCTGTATGCAATGTCTTTTTCCTCTGGCTGGTCTTAAGAATTTTCTTTTATTTTGATACTAATTGAATGTAAAGTACCTAGGTCTGGCTCACTTTTTATTTTGCTTGGGGTTTGCTGAACTTCTTTGATCTGATTGTTGGTACCTTTTGACAATTTAGAAAAATCTTTGGCTGCTATATTTTCAAGTATTTCAAATATTTACTTTCTCCTTTCCATCTGAAAAGCTAATTGCTTGTATGCTAAATCAAGACCACTTGATATTGTTCCATAGATTTCAGATGCTCTCTTCCTTTTATCATTCTCTCCCGACCCCCTTTTAAGTTTCATTTTGGGTAATTTCTGCTGACATCTTTAAGTTTACTAATCTTTTCCTCTGATGTATGGAGATAACCATTGTATGAATTATATGTTTGAAATATTTTTGACGGCAATCATTTCAGCTTGTATCTTTAAGTTTTCCATCTCTCTTGTGAAATTTCTCATGTATTTGCCCATTCTCTATCTTAGTCACTAGATCCTTTGTATATGATAATCATTTTACAGACCCTATTTGATATTTCTGATATTTAGACCATCTCTGGATCTCCTTATGCTGAATATTTTAATCTGATCAGATATCAGATTTTTCTTGCTTCTTCTCATACCTTGAGAGAACCTTGGGAGATTTGTTTCAGCTTGTCAATATGGTTTCTACCTTTTTGTATTTCCAAATTTTATTTTTCTCTCTTGTCCTTCATTTGCCTTTCTGCTTTTTGAGATATCTCTCTCCACAGTAGTGAAGGACTGGAGTGCCTTAGAGGGACTTTACTCAGTTCTGTTGCCTCTTCCCTAGGCTTCAGCAAGCCAAAGATTTGTATTTGAGCAATTCTCTGGCTACCTGAACAGCGGGAGGAAGGTAGATCTCTCTTGCTATTCTATATTGCTCTCAGCTTTCTCTGTGTTACTTCTCTGTTCCATGTACTTTGTTAAGGCTCACAGGGAAGAATTACTGGATGCAGGCATACTCACTCTGTGTGCAGGACTGTACTGTGTCACATCAGTTTTGGCTGGTTTCTCTCATGCTGTGCAAATTCCTATTCCTGAGGAGGATTCCCTTTCTGCTAGGTATGAAAACAGCCCAGAATCTCCTCTATCTTATAAAGGATTAATAATTTTTGGAATTTTGCTTATTTAGATTTCTTTAAATCCTGTCTTTCCTGCTGGGTTTAAAAGACTATAGTTTTACAGTTTATCTGGCATGTTTTCATTAGTGGGATTGATAGTCTCTTGCCACTTTCCACATTCTAACCAGAAGTAAAGTCCTTGGACTAACCTAGAAGACATATTAAAGTCATGTAACTGAGTGTTTATGAATCAAATAAAATAGATTCTAATGCTTATAATTATACCTCATTTAAAAATTAAATCTTATCATTTAGCTTTATTATATAAATATTTAAACCAGATACCCTTTAAGTGTTTCTTAAAATGCAAATCTATTTTTAAGAGAAAAATGTTTGCTACTATTGAGATAATGAAAAGAATGTGATAAAACTCTACAGGCCATGCTTGAAGAAGGGATTCTAGTAAATATTTTGAGCAAAGCCCAAAGTTCTAGAAAAGCTTGTATTTTTCCAAGATAATTATGAATTAAAAAACTTACAGTTTTCTTCAACTCCTATTCATCGTTCTCTTACATTAATATATTTAAAATACAGCTATTTTATTTTATTTTATTTTTATTTTTTACTTATTTCAATTCAATTTGTTAACATATGGTGTATCATTAGTTTTACAGGTAGAGTTCAGTAATTCATCAGTTGCATATAATACCCAGTGTTCATTACATCATGGTCCCTCTTTTTTTTTTTTTTTAACTTTATTTATTTATTTATTTAAAGATTTTATCAATTTATCTGATGGAGAGAGAGAGACCACAAGTTAGGGGAGCAGCAGAGGGAGAGGGAGAAGCAGGCTCTCCACGGAGCAAGAAGCCTGATGTAGGGCCCAATCCCAGCACCATGGAATCATGACCAAGCCAAAGAGAGACACTTAACTGACTCAGCCACCCAGGTGCCTCATCATGTGCCCTTTTTAATATCCATTACCCATTTGCCCCATCCCCCCACTTTTCTTCCAGCAACCCTCAGTTTCCTATAGTTATGAGTCTTTTATGGTTTGTCTCCCTCTCTGATTTCATCTTATTTTATTTTTCCCTCCCTTCCCCTATGATCTTCTGCTTTGAGCAAAGCCATGTGATAATTGTCTTTCTCTGATTGACTCATTTCACTCAGTGTAATATCCTCCAGTTCCATCCATGTCAGTGTAAACTGGTAAGATTTCATCCTTTCTGATGGCTGAGTAATATTTCATTGTATGTATATATCACATCTTCTTTATCCATTCCTGTGTCAATGGATATCTGGGCTCTTCCCAGAGTTTGGCTGTTGTGGACATTGCTACTATAAACATTGGGGTACAGGTGCCCCTTTGGATCACTACATTTGTATCTTTGGAGTAGATACCTAGTAGTAAATTGCTGAGTTATAGGGTAGCTCTATTTTAATGTCTTGAGGAACCTCCATATTGTTTTCCAAAGTGGCTGCACCAACTTGCATTTCCACCAACAGTGTAAGAGGGTTCCCCTTTCTCCATATCCTCACCAAAATTTGTTTCCTGCTTGTTAATTTTAGCCATTCTTACTGGTGTAAAGTGGTATCTTATTGTGGTTTTGATTTGTATTTCCCTGATGCCAAGTGACATGGAGCATTTTTTCATGTGTCTCTTGGCCATTTATATGTCTTCTTTGGAGAAATATCTGTTCATGTCTTCTGCCCATTTCTTGACTGGATTATTTGTTTTTTGGGTTTTGAGTTTGACAGGTTCTTTATAGCTCTTAGATACTAGCCCTTTATCTGATATGTCATTTGCAAATATTTTCTCACTTTCTATAGGTTGCCTTTTAGTTTTGTTGATTGTTTCCTTTGCTATGCAAAAGTTTTTATCTTGATGAAGTCCCAAAATTCATTTTTGCCTTTGTTTCCCTTGCCTTTGGAGACAGTATCTAGCAAGAAGTTGCTGTGGCTAAATTTCAATAGGTTTTGCCTGTGTTTTCCTCTAGGATTTTGATAGATTCCTGTCTCACCTTTAGTTCTTTCATCCATTTTGATTTTATCTTTATGTATGGTGTAAGAAATTGCTCCAGTTTCATTCTTCTGCCTGTGGCTGTCCAATTTTCCCAATACCATTTGTTGAGGCTGTCTTTTTTCCACTGAATATTCTTTCCTGCTTTGTTGAATATTAGTTAACCATAGAATTGGGGATCCATTTATGGTTCTCTATTCTGTTCCATTGATCTATGTGTTTGTTTTTGTGCCAGTACCATGCTATCTTGATGATCACAGCTTTGTAATATACCTTGATGTCCAGAATTGTGATGCCACTGGCTTTGGTTTTCTTTTTCAACATTTCTTTCTTCTGGCTACTTGGGGTGTTGTCTGGTTCCATACAAATTTTAGGGTTACTTGTTCTGGCTTTGTGAAAAATACCAGTGGTATTGTGATAGGGATTGCATTGAATGTGTATATTTCTCTGGGTAGTATAGACATTTTAACAATATTTGTTCTTCTGATTTGTGAGCATAGAATGTTTTTCCATTTCTTTGTGTCTTCCTCAATTTCTTTCCTGAATGTTTTATAGTTTTCAGAGTACAGATCCTTTACCTCTTTGGTTAGGTTTATTCCTAGGTATCTTTATTTTTTTTTTTAAGATTTTATTTATTTATTTGACAGAGATCACAAGTAGACAGAAAAGCAGGCAGAGAGAGAGGAGGAAGCAGGCTCCCTCCTGAGCAGAGAGCCCGATGCGGGGCTCGATCCCAGGACCCTGGGATCATGACCTGAGCTGAAGGCAGAGGCTTTAACCTACTGAGCCACCCAGGCGCCCCTATCTTATGGTTTTTGGTAAAATTGTAAATGGGATTGATTTTTAAATTTCTCTTTCTTCTGTCTCATTGTTAGTATATAGAAATGCAAATGATTTGTGTGTATTGATTTTATATCCTGCCACTTTGCTGAATTTCTGTATAAGATCTAGCAATTTTGGGGTAGAGTCTTTTGGGTTTTCCATATAAAGTATTATGTCATCTGCAAAGAGTGAAAGCTTTACTTCTTTACCAATTTGGTTGCCTTTTATTTTTTGTTGTTGTTGTCTGATTGCTGAAGCTAGGACTTCTAGTACTATGTTGAACAGCAGTGGTGGGAGTGGACATCCCTGTTGTGTTCCTGACCTTAGGGGAAAAGCTCTCATTCCCAAGAATAGCTTGAGAATGATATTCTCTCTGGGCTTTCCGTATATGGCTTTTATGATATTGAGGGGTGTTCCCTCTATCCTTACACTGTGGAGTGTTTTAATTAAGAAAGGATACTGTATTTTGTCAATGCTTTTTCTTTATCAGTTGAGAGGATCATATGGTTCTTATCCTTTCTTTTATTAAAATATGGCTATTTTAGGGGGCGCCTGGGTGGCTCAGTGGGTTAAGCCTCTGCCTTCAGCTCAGGTCATGATCTCACGGTCCTGGGATCGAGCCCCGCATCGGGCTCTCTGCTCAATGTGGAGCCTGCTTCCCCATCTCTCTCTCTGCCAGCCTCTCTGCATGCTTGTGATCTCTCTCTCTGTCAAATAAATAAATAAATAAAATGTGGCTATTTTAGACAGATAAATTATTTTAAGGCTAGTAAGAACTACTCTGAGTATTAAAATGAAAAAATTTGAACTTACAATGGCTAGGTATTTGTCTTTATTTTTCTAATGTGTTTAACTTTTTCTTTTTTCTTTTTTCTCTTTAGGAATCCTAAAACCAAAATAGTAGAACGAAAACAGAAACATGGCTCACCATATTTCATTACTTTGGATAATTTTGGTCTTGCCTCTTCAGAATTCTGTATTAGCTGAAGATGGGGAAATAAGATCAAGTAAGAATTATCAGCATTTTTGTTATCAACAAATTGATTGTGGAAATATAATTGGGGAGCTCAAGCAATTCTTTTTAGGACATTATTCTTACTGTTTTTGATGCTGTAACTCCCTAAAATGAAATGAATTGCTATGTTACATATTAACTGAGGGAAAAGCTTTTATCAGAGGTAATTTTGAGAAAATTCCATGGTAATTGTTTATTCTCTTTTACCCATTAGGCTTTGGAATAAATGGTATGGTATTCAGTTTATACTCAGCCATTTAGAACTTAGTGATAGGGAGATAAAGTACCTACCTCATTGGGTTATTAGGACCATTTTATGAGGTTATCTCATAGACATAATGAGATAATTCATGTAAACAGGGTAACTCCTATCAATGGCTTAGCTCAGTGACATCTTAGTAGATGGTGATATTATTTTGATTGTGTATAGGAGAGCTTGCATTAGAGAAAGAGAGCTATATTAATTGCATTTGTACTATCCAGGCCGTTATTTACAGATATCATGCATCTTATAAAAAAGTTGGCTTATAATCATATTTTGAAACTCATATACACCCTACTATAAATTATGGTTTCTACAGCACTTAAATCATATGGTTTGACAACTTGATTCAGCTTGATTAGAATTTATTAATAGTGAATTTAATGTTTGTATAATACTCTGAGTTTAATCCACTCATGTACTATACAAAGTACATATTATTTTCTCTGTTTTTTTTGAGTAGGAAAGAAATTCACAAAATTTAAGGGGCTTACCTAATATCATACAGCTGGTTAGAGGTATAACTAGTATTTGAACTATGCCTTTGATCTTCAGTCCATTTTTTTTTTCTATGACACTGATGATTCATCTTTCTAAGGAAGAGGCCTCTTGGAGTGGTATTTTGTCTAGTTTTTATAAATGGCAATTCTTGCTTTTGTACCCATGCTCTTGGCTAACTTTGCAGTTATGAAATATATGGTCCATGGCTCTGGAAAGGGATAGGAAGGGCCAAGAATAATGTTGTAAGAGTTTATAAATACTGAATCAAGTGGCTCACAAACACTAGCAGGTCTAGACAATGAGTCTCATAGTATTGAGGAAGGACAACCCTGAAGAACTCTGCAAACATGACTTGCCTATCCTTTTGTCTCTCCCACAAAAGCCCAACAAAAGCATATGTCTCTAATCCCAGTCCAGCTTCCAGAAAAACCCAGAACTACATTCCCTTGCATTAGAAAATTTGCCTCTGAGGCAGAATTCCATTTCTGTTGTCCCTGGCCTGAACTCTGGCAGTGTTTACCATGCCAAAGGATGTTGGAATAGTGTTCCTCATGATTTTTTGGACTTCACACCATCTTAAGAGTGACATCATAATGACGGTTACATTTTTTAGGTAAATCCATGTTTTGGCAGTTAAAAAAATTGTTTTTGGGTAACTTCTGGACTATATGTTCACCTGACAGTAGTTTATTTTTACCGGTTACTGTGAGTGAATTACCTTTAAAATTGAGGCATCTTTGTGTGAACTTGTCATCATCCCAGATATGGAAATAGACAAATATGAGGAAAAGAATGGAAAGGAAAGGAGAGGGAAAGAGAGAGATTGATTGATTAATTGATTTTACATGTAAGGAAATGCAGAAATACAAATACAGAAATACAAATGCTAATAGTCACTGAACTTTGTTTTTTCCTCCAGGATGGTCCTTTGTAGTTATGATATCTTATTTGTAATGTCTACAGAAAATAAATCATTATATTGGGCATCTGATCACTACTAAGAGAGACTATTAATATGTGTAAAAACACAGAACTTAAAATTTGTTACCATATTACCTTGACTCATCTCACCCTCTTTAAACTTACTATCTCCAAGGACATGTGATCTTTATCGTATGGGCCATAAATGGTAGTATTTTTACTGCTTTGAGTGCAGAATTGAGAGAAACAGGAAGTGTAGCCATTCCTTTCAGTGTACTCTATTGGCTGTTTTGCACTGTTGGAATTACTCCAACCATTTTGTCATTTGGGCTCTGTTTGATTCTTACCTCTGGACCTTTGTACTTACTATTCCCTCTGATTAGAAGGTCCTCCTCTTCACCTGGCTAAAGCTCTTCTTTTAGATCTCAGGTTCCCTGTCAGCTTTCCCACAGGATCTATTCTGACTTTGCACAATTAGTTTTTACCTTCTCCTAAATGTTCTCATAATATTTTGTACTTTGCCTAACCAGCCAGTCGTCTGTCTTAATAGACTGTGATATCTGTTTGAGATATCTTATGCATCTTTGAAGCTGGTACGTAGTATGATAGTCAAGCACAGAGTAGGTATTCAATATACATATACTGAAAGGCTAAAATAGGGTTGGAGGCATGCTGGGTACTGTGGAAAAGAGAAAAATCTTAAAAATCTTAATGATTTTTTCTTTCCACAAGTGCTTAGAACTTGTCTAGGTATAACTTGCACCAAAGACGGTTTTTGTTCTCCAGTAGAACTCTCAGGTGTGCTGATCACGTGTTTCCTGGCATGTTGAAACAAGAATCTTTATCTCTGTGGAGAAAGAATAGCTTTATACTCGTGAACAAAGATTCACTTAGCACAAGTCTCTTGCTGGCTGAAAATGAGAGATCAGATCTTTAAACATTGATCTTGTGTGTAGTGCAAGAGTAGATATTACATTGGTGATCTTGGTTCGTTAAACTTTTATCAACTCTATCAAAGAATATGCTAGTTGAATCCTGAAGTTGGCAGAAAGCCTTTTTCTTTTTAAATTTTTCTCCCATTCATTGACTTATGGATATTTTTGTAAATACTTTAGATTAACATTAAACTAAACATATTTCAGGGATAACTTAAAAGAATGCTTTTAGCATATATCTGAAAATCATTTATTTATTTTTGTGTTTTCATTTAGTCAGTGGGGAAAAGGAATTAAATGTTGCTTTATGGCAATACTTGCCCCTACACAGAACTATCTAGATATCATGTCAAATATAGTATCCTTTTTTTTATTCCCTACTTTTAAAGCTGAATCATTAATCCTTAAATTAAGACAACAGAATTTAAAAATGTTAACAAAAATAATAGCTCTGATTTAGAAAGAATTTTCATGAGTTAGGCAATTTATCTTATTTAACCTTCACAAAGGTCCTATGAACTGGTTACATTTTAAAATTTTAGCTTTATTGAGATATAATGGACATATAAATTGTATTATATTTAATGTGTGCCTCACGGTGATTTGATACCCATGTATGTTGTGAAAGCATCCCCTGCATCTGCTTACTTAAAGATTGTGCAGTAAAAACCTCCCATATTTGCTTTTTATACTACAAATGTGTTCTGATGGTTTTCTTCTTCACTTAGGTTGTCGTACTGCTCCAACAGATTTAGTTTTCATCTTAGATGGCTCTTACAGTGTTGGCCCAGAAAACTTTGAAATAGTGAAAAAGTGGCTTGTTAATATCACGAAAAACTTTGACATAGGACCGAAGTTTATTCAGGTTGGAGTGGTCCAGTATAGTGACTACCCTGTATTGGAGATTCCTCTTGGAAGTCATGATTCTGGAGAGAATTTGATTGCAGCAATGGAATCCATACATTACCTGGGTGGAAACACAAGGACTGGAAAGGCCATCCAGTTTGCACTTGATTACCTTTTTGCCAAGTCCTCACGGTTTCTGACAAAGATAGCAGTAGTACTCACAGATGGTAAATCCCAAGATGAAGTTAAAGATGCAGCAGAAGCAGCAAGAGACAGTAAAATAACATTATTTGCTATTGGTGTTGGTTCAGAAACAGAAGATGCAGAACTTAGAGCCATTGCCAATAAGCCTTCATCTACTTACGTGTTTTATGTGGAAGACTATATTGCGATATCCAAAATAAGGGAGGTGATGAAACAGAAACTTTGTGAAGGTAAGCCTTAATGGTATTTGGAAACAATTAATAATTGCATTTTCTCACACTTTGGTATAACCTGCTTATTTATACCATGTAGTTATATTTAGTGTCAAGTTATCTATCATGTTAGAATTGAGGTGTACATGTATTTTTGTGTTTCATTTATTCTGGATAAATTTTGTTTTTAGAAACAACCACTTAAGAAAATCTATAGTTAGAAAATATCCTTTTTTTGTTGCTTTTTTTTTTTTTTTTCAATTGCAGCATGTCCATTGTGGAGATGGAAGAAAATAAAGGCACATAAAACATAAGAATATATAAACTACACATGATCACTCTTACTCTTGTTAGCGATTTTTTTGTCTTTTTCATTCCAGTGTTTCTTTTTTTATTTCATTGTGTCTGAGAGCTTATTCATGTGCCTAAATAAGTATAACATTGTATATATAATTTCATCCTCTATTTTCATACTATTGTATATTCTATTATTTTTATGTATAATTTTCATCCTCTATTAACATAATAGCAGACAGTCTCAGTCTCCTAAGATAATTCATTTAATAATTCCCCCTTTTTTGTGTGTGTTTAGTTTCTTTTTCTTTTTTTAAATTTTTATCTAAATTCTAGTTAGTTTACATATAGTGTAGTATTGGTTTCACTTGTAGAATTTAATGATTCTTCACTTACACATAATACCTAGTGCTTATCACAAGTGCCCTCCTTAATACCCATCACCCACTTAGTCCATCCCCCACCCTTCTTCCCTCCATCAACCCTCAATTTGATCTCTATAGTAAAGAGTCTGTTTTATGGTTTGCCTCTCTCTTTTTCTCCCCTTCTGTTCGTCTGTTTTTTAAATTCCATGTATGAGTGAAATCATATAGTATTTTTTCTTTTCTGACTTATTTTGCCTAGCATAATACACTCTAGCTCCATCCATGTCATTGGAAATGGCAAGATTTCATTCTTTTTGATGACTAATACTCCATTGTCTTCATGTGTTTGTGTATCTTTTTTATCCATTCATCAGTTGATGTTTTTTGTTCATTTCTAAGTTTTTCTGCTATAAAATATTCTTATACAGAATTCTGAATGGGAATGTCTGATTTTTTTCAAAAACATAGGTCAAATTACTAAAGTTGTTAGAGCTCTGGAAAAATGTTAAAAATTGCACTTGAGAGACTTAAATTTCTACCATCAGTGAGAGAATATTTGAAAATATAGTATTTATTAGTCAATCGTTTTTACATCATTCCATGAAATCTAACTTTGTGTTTATGATAAGTCCACGGTATGGAAAAGCTCCATTTTTTGGCAAATATTAATTGTATTAGGATATAGACATTCACATTTTTTTGGAGAGAGTAATTTGTTTGTAATACTACAAGCATTTAATACTATAATATATCTAAAAAATAAAATTTATGTAAAATCAAAAGACTTTTTTTTTCTAATTTGCCTAAAAAAGCTCCAAAAATATGTTGGTTCACATTTGATAGAAACATTTCTGGGGTGCCTGGGTGGCTCAGTTGATTAAACATCTAAGGTCATGATCTCAGGGTCCTGGGATCAAGCCCGCAACAGGCTTCCTGCTCAGCGGGGAGTCTGCTTCTCCTCTTACTCTTTGTGCGTGCTCTCTCTCTCTCTCTCTCTCTGTCTCAAATAAATCTTAAAAAAAAAAAAAAAGGAACATTTCTAAGTGTGGCCTAGAAAAAAGACTTATTTCTCTATAAATCTTTTATTTATTTATTTATTTATTTTATTTTAAATTTTATTTATTTTATTATTCTATTTATTTTTTTATTAATTTATTTATTTCTCTATAAATCTATTTTTCTTCATATTTGTTTGAGAGCTATAGTACAGAAAAACATTTAAATTTATTTTTAGATTATTTAAGAAGGGATGGAAATTGAGCATTTTCTGGGGCACCTGGGTGGCTCAGTGGGTTAAGCCTCTGCCTTCAGCTCAGGTCATGATCCCAGGACCCTGGGATCGAGCCCCGCATCGGGCTCTCTGCTCAGCGGGGAGCCTGCTTCCCCCTCTCTGTCTCTGCCTGCCTCTCTGCCTACTTGTGATCTTCTCTCTGTCAAATAAATAAATAAGATCTTAAAAAAATTAAGCATTTTCTTTAATCAAACTTTTAAAAAGGCACTATAGCAAGTACAAATGATTATCACAATTATTCTTTTCATGTTCCTAACAGTAAGACTGTGTTGACTTTTCTCATCTTGATCAGAGAATTTATATTTATTTTCCAATTTTATTGAAAAATAATTGACATACATAGATTTTTAAATATGTTATAAGATTAGAATTAGAATTCTTTGGTTTTGTAGCTAGATATATTTCATTATTAAAACAGACTTTTCATGGTGATGTTTTACCTACCATTCTTTTATATCCTAAAATATAAATTTGATAAAGTATGTCTGGGCAGTACTTGTTTCAGAGACTTTGTGTAGATACGTATTTTGGTAAATGCATTCTATTTTAAAAATTCTAATTACACGTGAAAGATTTGTTTAAAAGGATAAAAAATTCTTTTAGCAAAAATGTCCAGTCTGTAAAAAAAATTAAATTTGAAAGCTTGCCAAATATTTCTTCATGCACACTCAAAGAAAGAATGTAAGTAATATCTGTGTCTATTCAGTTCACAAATATGCGGTACAATAGCTATCTTTTAAAATGTAGTTTTTGAAATTGTACTTAGGGGAATATAAGGGCTTTTTTGCACTTGACTTTTTAATAACTATTAGATTATGATTTTCGCATTGTTGTTTTGCAGAAGCCTCAAATCATGCAATTTATATTTGCATTGTTTGACAAAGTTCCTATTTTTTATTGTTTTGATAAATGGTTAAATTCTACCTTGAATTGCTTATCATGTTCACTTTTATATTCCTGTTGTGATTGATCCACAGTGAACAAAATATTATTTACTTCTTTGGTCCCACATGGATTATTTCAACTTCATAGACCTACCATTTGCTTAAAGGAGTATTCTGCAGTACATTTCTTATTTCAGGATGATCTTTTTGTGATGGACGATGGTTTCTTTACTTTTCTGTTTGAGAGTTAAGTTTTTTTTTCTTTTTCTTTCTATTTTTTTATTGTAAAAAACACATGAGAGCTAACCTCTTAAATATTTTAAGTCTACAGTACAGTATAGTTAACTGCAAGCACAGTGTTGTACTGTAGATACCTAGAACTTCCTCATGTTGCATGACAGAAACTTTGGGCCCATTGAATAGCTACTCCCTATATCCCTCTCCCTCCCACTCTGGCAGCCATCATTCTGCTTTCTGTTGTTATGAGTTTGACTACTTTACATATTTCATAAAGGTGGAATCATGCAGTATTTGTCCTTCTGTGACTTGGCTGTTGGGATTTTGATAGGGATTGCATTGAAACTGTAGGTCACTTTGGGTGCTAGAGAAATTTTTGCATTATTGAATTTTCCATTCTATTAATATGAGATGTATCTACTTGCTGGTGATTTCTTTAGGCTTTTTTTTTTTCTTTTTTAAGTGGTGTTTTGTAGTTTTCAGCATTTCAGTGTTTCACCTCCTTGGTTAAGTTTATTCCTTAGTATTTTATTACTTTGGATGCTCTGGCTAGTACTTCCAATATTATGTTGAATAGAAGTGGCAAGAGTGGGCATCCTTGTCTTGTTCCTGATCTTAAAGGAAGAGCTTTTTGTTTTTCACCATTAACTGTGGGCTTTTCATATATGACCTCGATTATGTTGAGGTAAATTCCTTCTTTAATTTGATGAGTGTTTTTATTATGAAATAATATTAAATTGTGTCAAAATTTTTTTCTGCAAATATTGAGATGATCATGTGACTTTTATTCTTTATTCTCTTAATGTGGTGTATTGCATTGATTAATCTCATAGGTTTAACCATCTTTGCATCTCAAGGATAATTCCACTGGATCGTGATGTTTGATTTTTTTGGGATCCTTTTTATAATGCTGTTGAATTCAATTTGTTAGTAATTTGTGGAGGATTTTGCATCAGTTTTCTTTTCCTGTAGTGTCTTTTTCTGGCCTCTCTATCAGGGCAATGCTGGCCTTATAAAAAGAGTTTGGAAGTATTCCCTACTCTTCAGATTTTTGTAGGAGTTTGAGAAGGATTGACATTAATTTTTTAAGTGTTTTGTAAAATTCACTGGTGAAGATACCTGGTCCTGGGCTTTTCCTTGTTGAGATGTTTTTGATTCCTGATTCAATATCCTTATGAATCTGTTTACATTTTCTATTTCTTCATGATTCAGTCTTGGTAGGTTTTATAGTGTAGAAATTTATCCATTTCTTCTAGGTTATCAAAATTGTTGTATAATTATTACAGTCTCTTATGATTGTTTGTATTTTTGTGATATTAGTTGTAATGTCTCCTCTTTCATTCCTAGTTTATTTATTTCAATCTTCTTTTTTTTCTTAGTTAATCTAGCTGAAGTTATTTCAGTTTTGTTGATTTTTTTAAAAAATCAACTCTTAATTTCTTGATTTTTTTTGTTTTACTCTTCTTTATTTCATTTATTTATGAATTTAGATTAAGATATAAGAAATAAAGATAATCTTAATTATCTTAAAGATTATTGAAATTAAAATTATTCTCTTGTTCCTATTAGTTTTGGGCTCAGTTTGTTCTTTTTCTAGTTTTTTAATGAATAAAGTTAGGTTGTTTATTTGAGATCCTTTATTCCAAAATACTTAGTATTTTGCCACATCTCATAAATTTTGGTATGTTGTATTTTAGTTTTTGTTTACCTCAAGATATTTTCTAATTTCTCTTTTAATTTTTTTGAGTCAATTGTTGAACAAATGGTTGTTCAAGAGCATGTTCAATTTCCACATATTTGTGAGTTTTCCACTTTTCCTCCTACCATTAATTTCTAGTTTCATTATGTTGTAGTTGGGAGATGTATTTGGTATGACTTCAGTCTTCTTAAATTTATTAAGACTTGTTTTTTGACCTAACATGTGATCTATCCTGGAGAATGTTTCAT